TGTTTGTGTGTTTGTGTTTGTGTGTTTGTGTTTGTGTGTTTGTGTGTTTGTGTTTGTGTGTGTTTGTGTGTGTGTGTGTGTTTGTGTGTGTGTGTGTTTGTGTGTGTGTGTGTGTGTATACATATGGCCAGTTGGTGCAGTGATGGAGGCAGGAGTTCCAAAATACTGGTATAAAAATTTGGTACCTTGTGGTGCCATGTGAGGCCTGTCTTACTTTTAGACAGGCTGATGGCAGGCAATGCTGCTGTCAGCACAGAGCATTTGAATCTGCATTTTGTTTTGAGCTTTCCTGTTTTAATTCTCTTTTTCTTCAGTTTATAAAAAGCTTCCCCCAAAAGACCTCGCTTTCTGCCACCCCTGGTTTCTACATGTGTGAGTGGTTGCAGGTGCTGCCTTTCTGGAGCTGTGTGTCTCTGTCCTTGAATGTATCTTTGGAAAGCACATGCCTCTTTTTTTTTTTTTTACTCTTATAGGGGGTCTGCTTTGATATCCCTGTTGATGAACTAAGTAACATACAGGTATGTTTGTGTAGCCAGAGTTGGCTTTAAAAGTTGATAATTTGAAATTTGGCAACTGCCATATATAGGGTTGAATATAGGGTGGTTTGGGAGGTTAAGGTTTGTGTTTTAATAAGGACGTTGCATAGACAACAGGGTGATTAGAAAGAGCACAGCACAGTCATTAGAAAATACTCTGCCGTGGCTCTTTCTCATTTGTGTTTTCATGATATTACCTGATTTTACTAAATCCTATTCTCTTTGTCTACTCTGGGTTTTGACCTATCCAATGAATTTGAGAATTCACCAGTTTTCTGTTGACTTCACTCTGTCTTGTCCCTTGTGAGGGTTTATCCTTTGTCACAGGAGTGTGGGTGTTTGCTGGGGGGAATCTGATGACCTGTTTTGGCAGGGGTGGGATTTGTGTGGAAATGCCTGTGTATTCAATGGGATTTGTCTGGAAATGCTTGTGCATTCAGTGTTGTTTTTAATGATACAGGTACCTTGGACACTCCTGCAGGCACATAAAGTCTTGTTACATTGGTCTTGTTTCAGGAACAGTGGAAGGACACCAGGCGCTGGCAGCTGTCGGTGGCAAAGGAGTTGCCTGAACTGGAAGAGTATCCCCAGGAGGCGGGACGAGGGTTCTCAAAGTTTGGAAATGGAAGGCAAGGCAACTTCAAGAGGAACAGCTGGTTCAAGAGTGGGAACCGGGGACTTTAACAGAACACTCGATTAACCTCCAGTACAGACTTGGGACTGAGCTGAATTTTATCAAACAGTAAAAGCCTGTTAGACACTCCTCTTTGTCTTTATTCCTTGATAAAGCAGCCTGTCTTTGAGGATAACTAAAAACCATGTTTACTGAGATAACTGGGTGTTTTGGGAGATTTTTCTTCCTGCCCAGCAAAGCAGCTGCTGTCTGTAAGGGCATCCCTGTCCTGGGGTGGTGAGTGTGCCTGGAAACTTGGCACTGTGGGGAGCAGCGCTCATCCAAACACGGACAGCCACCAAACCTCGCCCGTTCAGCAGCCCTTGCATTAAGAAATCTGGTTCTAAAATTTTTTTCAGAAAAATCTGACGTCAACCTCTCAGCACCCTTCCTCCGGAGCATCCCATGGATGTTGGGGCTCCTGTTTCCTTTAGGGTGGTTCTGTTTTCCAGCTCCTTCACGGTACTGCCTGTCACAGACTGCGGGGGGCGGAGGGGGGAATCCCGAAGGGTTGGAAAGATGGGGTCCCGCTGAGGGGGTGCTGGATGGCGGCGGGGCAGGATCGGGATTGCGATGGCCCCGCTGAGGGGGCGCTGGGTGGTGGCTGGGTCAGGATGGCCCCGCTGAGAGGGCGTCGGATGGCGGCGGGGCAGGATCAGGATCGGGATGGTCCCGCTGAGGGGGCGCTGGATGGCTGCGGGGCACGATTGGGATCGGGATGGCCCCTATGGGGGGGCGCTGGGTGGCGGCGGGGCGGGATGGGGATGGCCCCTATGCGGGGGCGCTGCGGGTCGGCGGGGCGGGATCGGGATCGGAACGGCCCCGCTGAGGGGGCGTTGGCTGACGGCGGGGCGGGAGCGGGGCGGGATCGGGAAGGCCGCGCGGGGCGGGGCGGCGGCGCGGGAAGATGGCGGCGGGCGGCGGGTGGCCCGCGGTGTGCGAGAAGTTCCGCGCCGCCCGCACGCTCTCGGCCGTGGAGTCGCTGAAGGACCCCGAGACGGAGCCGTACCGCTCCAAGTACAGCGCCCGGGCGCTGCTGCAGGAGGTGAAGCAGCTGCTGAGCGCCGCCGAGGAGGGCGGCGAGGCGCGGGTGCTGGCCGTGCGGCGGGCCGTGCTGGAGTACGAGCTGGGCGTCAACCACACCGACACCGAGGAGCTGTCGGCCGGCGAGGAGCACCTGCAGCGCTGCACGCAGCTCCTGGAGCCGCACCGCCTGTCCCCGGACTGCGTGTCCCTCTACATCCAGGCCCAGGTGGGCGGGGGAGGCCGCGGGGAGGGGGGAGGCAGCCCCGAGTCCTGACAGGCACTGCCTGGGTAACCATCATAAACACGGCCCCGGCCGTCAGTTCCTGCCGGAAGAAATCGTTCCCGGGGGCTGGCTGTGGAGGGGGTTTCTGTTTTAAGCCTTCTGCTGATGCCTCTGGGCGTGCAGGGCATCTAAAGTCTGTTCTCGCAATGGAAATTGTGTGTTGACAAAGCAGCGTGTTCCTCGGGACAGACCTAGACAGAGCTGGTAAGAGCTGGGCAGGAATAAATTAGTAGAAGATCTCAGTATATCCAGAATTTGTGATTCCTTAACTCATTTGTCGTCAAAGTGAAGTTGGGAGATGCTTTTATTGATGTGTAAATGGTAAATTGTTTGCTTTTCAGCTTCGTCTGTTCTCTTTTAAGCTATTAAATTTTGTCCCGGATGAGTAAATACAGTTTTGTTGGGGCTCAAAGTAATAATATTCATCTCTTTATTCTGAATAAAATAACACTCTTATCAAAATTAATTCTTGCCACACGAAGATTCACAAAAGGGCCTTTGTGGACCCGCTCTGCCATGGCAGCTGGTGTATAGTCAGGTATCTGTCTCTAGACTGTAAATTAAATAGAGCAGTTATTTAGATGTCTCTGTCAAAAATGGTTGCTCCAGTTAGAAAAGGTTCAGTTGTGCTCCCTTATCAAATGTTGCAATACTGTCAAGGAATTGTGTGCTGATGTGGAAAAGGTGCCAGTTAAACAGTGACTTGTCTTATGCTGGCTAAATTAGCGGAGTTGTCTGGAATTGTGAGGTTACATCTGCTCGTCCTTCAGTGCACCGCTATGAATCTGTTACTCATTGTAAGGTAGAGATTGCTGGAGCCAAAACCAGATAATATCTTCCCACATGTTCCTGGTGGCTCTTGTGGCTGAGGGCCAGGGATTCCACTGTGCTTCTGAATGGTGTGTTGGAAAGCAGCTCTTGTCTCTTAGGCAAAAGTTTGCATGGACATGACTGTTTTGGGGCCTTTAGGGAACAGCAGGATGAAGTTTGTTGTGCAAAATTGCCATCAGTGGCCATACTTCTCCAGATCCTGGGAGTCTAGAGTGTGCTGCCACAGCACTGACTGCTATTTTGAAAGAAGGAGCATTCCTGTTTCCTGCTTCTGATTTTCTGAGCTTCTTGTTAAGATTGTGTATCACACTTTCTGTCTAATGGAATTTGGTCTGTTCCACTGCTTGGCCTAAGGCAAAGTATTTCAGTTCATAAACAACATGTGATGTGCTTTCTTATAAAAATAACAAAACGAATGGAACTAAAAAGGGTACTAGGTTGGCATACAGCTACACATTCTAACTATTTTGAAGGTTTGGGGTTTTTTTTAGCCCTCTTGGATTTTGTAACAGCACTGCCTAGGACTTAAATTAGCACATCAGATATAGATTGTTATTAACACCTTCATCTTATTAATAAAATTAGAGGTAGTTTTTGTAGAAGGTGGATTCACAGATGCAGTAACTTGCTATGTACATTGCTTTAATTTAAATTTGAAGGCAGTAGTCAATAGCTTTTGCATCTTTAAAGGCACTTTTCATCTCTTTCTGTTGTTGAAAATTTACAAGCATTCATTCCCACCATATCTTTTTCCTGTTAACTCTTTCAATGGAGTCATGGTAAAAATTTCTAATGTCTTGTCTCTTTTTCTGACGTATGTATGTGATGTAAAAGCTGCATGAATTGGATGCGGAATGTGCTTGGAAAAAGCTCGTTATTTGGACACACCAATCCTTTCCTGGCAGAATAAACACAGAAAGTTAGTCAGAGAGGTGAATTTTGTGTGTGAAGTTTGCTGTGTGAGAACCCCTTCTTTTTTTAGCAATTCACAGTCAAGTGGATGGGCACCATTTTTGCTTTTTGAAATTCATTGTATTAGAACACAAATATATGATGAAGACTGAATTGTTTGGAGAAACTGTGTAATGTAAATGGAACACAATGGGAAAATAACTGTTTTTTTTTTTTTCCTTTTACCTTTAGAACAACCTGGGTATCCTGTGGTCTCGAAGGGATGAAATTGAAACTGCACAAACTTATTTGGAATCTGCAGAAGCCTTGTATAACCAATACATGAAAGAGGTACTGTGTTAGCACTGTGGCAGGTCTTACTTTCACTGAAACTGCCACTTGCAGTTTAAGTAATCTTTGAAATAACCATATAATGGAAATTGAGTTTCTGCCCTTTATCCTGGCTGCTGTGGTACCTTTGGCAAGTGACAGGAGTTGTCCTGCTGTATAGGACAAGGCAAACCAGGGCATTGCTTGCTGATTTCAAAGTGGAAAATACGTTTGCTCAAAAATAATGGTCCCTTTTGAAAGCCCTTTAGTAATCCAAAGTTGAAGCCAGGTAGAATCTGGGTTTTAAAGAGGACTATTATTAAATCTTATCTTGGAAGTGATGTACAGTGTCAATCCATTACTTTCAGTGGGAAGAGGAAGCAAAACTGTAATATTTGGATGGTTTGCTCTGACCGTGCAGTGTTTTGTAGAGACAAGTAGTTTAGTTCCATATCCAAGAGGACAATCTTACAAACAGCTAACCCTCTCATGCATATTAAACAACCTTTTGAGCTGTGGATTCCGCTGTGTATCTGACAAAGACTCCCTTGTGCTATTTTTAAGCTCTTTGCAAAGCTGTTTCTACACTGACTTGCCTCAAGGACAGTTCTTGAGTGAGGTAAAAACATTTGTTGCCTTCAAGGAGCAGTAGCTGTGTCTCAGGACAGCTGTACAGTTTGGACAGACCTTAGTTTCATGAAATTGCAGTCCAGGTTTTATATGAAGTTGGTTTATAGCACAGATGATTCCCCTGGAGATCTTTAGAATGGGTTAGTCTTTATTGGTTGGTTACTGCTCTGTTTCCACCTATGCAGCTGTGCTGGCCTACACTGATAGGAAATGGATCCAGAAAAAAAACCCACTGAAAAGCTTCTCAATTTATTTTCTGCCCTCTGGTTCAGTAGAGACACTACATCTCTCTGCAGACCCTCTCTCTAATTAATTCCTGATGATCAACTTTGATATTTATACCCAGCCCTGGGTGTAAATATCATCTGCTTTCACATTGCCTCTAAAAGTTTCTGGCACTTGTTCCAGTGATTATGAAATTGGACTGGTACTACCATGTAGTGGGTTAAACAGTGCTGCCAAATACTTCACATTTTCACTGTGGACTTTTCTGAAACCTAATTTTTGTTAGTAGTGGCTACTGAATATTCCTTCTGGGGCTTTGCTGCCATACATACCTGACTGTTAATAAGCCCATGCCAGATCACTTCCACAGCTTTTCCCCAGCATTTTTTTACTTGCCACTTACAGTTCAAGGCATTGTGTAGCTATATCAAAAGACTTTCTTTTAAAAGAAACTACAGCAAAATGATGTTTCTGTGGTGACTTTATCGGACTTGCATCATGTTTCTCTGAAAATACTGACTGTACCTGAGATAATCTGCAAAGAATTAATAACTCTCACAACAAATCCAAACCACAGGGTGTGGGGGGAGCTTGTCTAACTGCTTTATAGTTTATAAAGAGGACTTGAGTTCCTTGCAGTGGTGTTTGATCCTTAGGATTTATACAGCCATGTCAACATTTGTCTTTCACAAGTTATAAAAATGTGAATATACTTTTCTTAACAGTCCCCATTTTTAGGCTGTCAGGAATCCTTCCTGTCAGGGAGCCTTTGGTAAACTGTTGATGTCTGAGACGTTTTCCTGAGCTCACAAATTAGGTAGGGTGGTTTCCCCCCACTTAAGCAAAACCAAGGCAAGGAGCTTGGGCTAATGAA